AGGAAAGATTTTAGGCATGTCAATATTCTGAGGCTTCTTGGCACTCAAGCATTTTTTTCATTGCTCCACTATGCCCAAACTGACATTTGACATCAATCAGTGATCAAGGTCTAAAGCGAAAATATTCTTGAGGTCAAAACCAACAGATTGTCCTGGCTCTGATGCCATATTTCAGCTCTACTCTTTAATGCATGGTTTCTCAACTGTGGCATTATAAGCATTTTGGACCTGTTAATTCTTTGGTGTGGGGGGCTGTCCTGTGCATTATAGGATGTTTACCAGGATCCTGGCCCTCTACCCGTTAGATGCCACTAGCACCGTTCCCCGGTGACAATCAAAAATGTCTAGACATTGCCAAATGTCACCTAGGGGACAAAATCGCCCCCAGTTGGGAATCACTGCTATAATGATTGTACCTGTCTGTGGTATATCAGGGCATGACACATATCATTCTTTGTTTTTAAACATAAAATCTTGATTGTTTTTGGATCATAGCTAATAAGTCACAGGATTAGCTCAATACTGGGAGAAAGAGATGCTATCACCTAACTTTTTTCAGACTTGTTTCAGAAAATGAGATCTATAAGAGAAGGCAAGAATGAAGTCTTCCAGCTTTAGAAGATCCAGGTATATATTTTCATAAATCTAACCTGGAGCCAGTGGACATCTCCCCAGGCAGAGGGAGAGTTTTAGATGATTTTAGGTATTGTCAGTGCTTTATTTGTGCCACTTTTACCTGTCTGGCAGTAAACCACAGTCCTGATCTCTCAGAATTCACTGCCAGAATTTCTTCAGGCTTTTAACTCCCCTCTCCCGTCAAGACTGAAGTTGCAGAGAGGAAAAGGAGCTTGGTCATTAGCTGGGAATGTCACCTAAATAGGAGGGGAGGGGAGGGGGGTTAGTACACACATGTCCAACATGTACCTACCCGACCGTGTCAGATTAGCAGGGGTAGACAAGATAGCTCCAGATGCCAGGGAAGCAGATGGAGGTGCATTGTGTTTGAAGTCTAGGCTTTAGGGCATCAACTACTGTCACTTGCACTCCTTCTGCAAATACATACCTCACAGAGGTTACAGGTGAAAGGCCATATTTTAAACTCAACCATATTTCTCGAGCAGGTGCGCCTCACACAACTTTCTGGCAGAGAGATTCAGGAATGGGTGGAGATACTAAGTATACTGCTGTCAGAACAAAGCATTGTCCTGTTGGCTGAGAAGACTGTCACAACCACTTTGATTTCTGAAGTTTTAGCCTCATGCTGGGCCTGTTCTGCTCACAGCCATGGCCGTGGGATTTGATGGTCTCCCAGTCGTGCCTGGCAGTCTGTCTAAAAGGAGCTAACAACCCAAGCTAGGCTTGTGGGTGGAAGCACACCACTCCATCAGCAGCACAAATGAGCCCTGCTCAGCCCAGGCGAGAACACAGGCTCTGCTCTTGGCACTGTTCCTGGAAATGCAGAACAGGCTTCTTTATTCCAGTCTCCAGGCTTCTGGCTAGCGAGAAACACTGCCACTGCCCGGCTCTGGAGCGTTTTATAGGATCATAACAAGTTGTGCCGAAGGCGAGTTCTGAAAGGCACTTTGTGCCATTGCTTTGAGTGAAGCTGACTGTTAGGGCAGTGTTGTTCTTAAGCCCATAAACACACACACAGGCAGGATGGGGAACGCTGGGCTCCTGGGGCTGCTCAGCTCGGCAGCACTGCAGAGTTGGACTGACTTCTCTCCACTCTGATACCAGCTTCAGGGCTGTGCTTGGGAGCCCTCCTGTAGAGCAGCCTGCTTTCTGACCAAGTCTTTGACCATGGACACCCCTGGTTGGAATCCTATGCAGGTTGCCCAAATCTGCTAATGTTGGAGTAGCACATCACACACAAGGGAGGTTCTGAAAGTGGAAATTGCATGGAGTCAAAAATACCCTTGAAAATCCTTTAAATGTCTCAAAGACCACATACATGGCTTGTGTATACCCAAAATTGCAGGTTTCAGTTTACAGGCCTTATTGTATGAAAAATATATGTCTTTAAACATTAGAATCTTATTCACCGTGGTGAGACATTCAAGCTATGAGAGGCTTGGAAGCATCAGACCACGCAAAGGAACTCCAGATTCCCATCTTCCCTTTTGCACTCATTTGGGCTCATTTTTTTTTTTTTTTCCCAGCACAATTTAAATTGTTACTGGCCATTAGCAATCTCTCTCTCTTCCTCTTCCTCTTCCTCTCTCTCTGCCTAGCATACATACTGGGAAAGACATAAGTTTGCTGCACATATATTGTGCCATGTATATTGACTGATTTTCATGGTTCCGTCTTTTGAAGAGGGGCAAAAAAATGTTTAAGAGCAAGTGGATATGGCAGCCTTTTCGTCAGCCGATATGACTCTTCTTTGCTCTACGATATTTGTACTTGAGGTTAAAGTTCCCTCTCTTCCGTAGGGTTTATTTATTACTACACTGGACTTATATATGCCAGACTTCGTGCTTGGTCCGGAGAATCCTGCAGTGAGTAGCCTAGTCCCAGGGCTGGCATAGTTTACCAGGGTCACTCTCTTCTCCACTAAGTGCTGGATGTACACTTCCCAACTGGAGGTCAAGGCCGAGTGAGCTCCAACAGGGATCAAAGCCCGTCCATGAAGGGACTGTTACTGGCCAGAGCCGCCTAATTGGGGTGGGGGGCCTGTGAGGGCCCGAGGAGCAGGCGGAGGCAGGGAATGAGGGGCAAGCTCCAGGTGCTTCAGCTCAAATCCTCGGCAGCCAGAGAAGCCCTGTGTGAGGCCTTTGGTGGCAAAGTTAATCAGGGGCTGCTTTGGTTGGTTGCCCTTGGAGGTAGGATTCCCCTTACTCCCCACCGCAACCTTAGCCAGACTTGCAGTGAGCATCTGTGTAAGCTCTCCATCAGCACAGTTCAGGCTAAAAGGACAAAGTTGTGTTCAGGAATACAGGTAGGAAAAAAATCAGTGGTCCTGAGCCATTCTTTCCCACCCCAAACCTCTTTTTCAACTACTTCCTTCCCACTGCTTTAGGGTGTATATTTGAGGGAAAAAATTCAGGTGCTCTCTTCAGTGTCAGCTGGAACTCACTCATTCAGGAGCTTCCTTTACATGGTTGGCAAGAGTGAGGCTGGCAGAACTGGACCAGATTCTCTGCTTCTGAAGGCAGTTTGTCCACACTAGCTGGGCAGGAAAGCCGGCGAATTTAGTGCCAGCGTGTGGGTTTTCATCCCCGAGGCAGGGATGAAAGGACTGTATATCATGAGGTTTCCTGCCTGGAAAGTAGGAACTGCTGGATTCTGGTCTCGGCTGGAGCAGAGAACACTGAAACAGAGACTAGATATTTCCATTCTCACTACCTCCTGCATACCTAAGAAGTCAAAAGGAAAGACATCATCTCCCTAGACCCCCACCTGCTGTGGCCATGCCTTTGACAGGAGGGGGAAAAAATTCAACACTGCAGTCTACAAAATAACTTTTGAGATAATGCTCATTTTAATATTTTAAAAACTAATTTCTAATTTCCCAACACATGGATATGTTTTTCATGTAAAATATTTAAGAACATATTAGCTATAATATGAAGGCTCCTTTGTCCACTACTTTTAATTCCCTTGGAACTGATTGCCTCCTTTCAGCCCTGTAAAAACTTGCTGTGGATCCTTCCAGATGGTTTTCAATGGTATTTACCTACATTTCTCTATAGAAAATATAGAGAAATTTGTAGATGTGGGTTTTTTTTTAACACAAATGGGAAAATATATGGTATTTTTTAAAATTATTTATTTATTTATTTATTTATTTATGGCTGCATTGGGTTTTCGTTGTGGCGAGCGGGGGCTACTCTTCGTTGCGGTGCGCAGGCTTCTGTTTGCGGTGGCTTCTCGTTGTAGAACATGGGCCCCAGGCGCACAGGCTTCCGTAGTTGTGGCACACAGGCTCAGTAGTTGTGGCGCACGGGCTTAGTTGCTCCGCGGCATGTGGGATCTTCCCGGACCAGGACTCGAACCCATGCCTCCTGCATTGGCAGGCGGATTCTTAACCACTGCACCACCAGGGAAGCCCTATGGTATCCATTTGTAGATTTTTTTTTTTTTTAACACAAATGGTATCATACTGTGCTTACTCCGCAATTATTTTTTAACTGAACCTAATACATTTGAGATCTTTCCATGCCACACCCACAGACCCATCTTCTTTTTGACTGCAGCTGCGTGGTGTTCCATAGTGATAAGAGTTTACCTAAGCACTCCCCATTGGTGGATATTACAGTTGTTTCCAATTTGGGTTTGTTTTTTACTGTTCCAGACAGGGCTGCAGGGAATGATCTTATAATTGCCTATTGGGCATTTGCAATGTGTTTCTCCAGTAAGGCACGGTAGTGCCGGCTCATCACTGCACAGCTTTATCTTGACACCCCCTGTCAGATTCCTCTTATAAGTGGCAGGCAGCCTCTTACCAGCCTCTTTATACTTAAAAATGGGCGCAGAAGGGCTTCCCTGGTGGCGCAGTGGTTGAGAGTCCTCCGGCTGATGCAGCGGACGCGGGTTCGTGCCCCGGTCCGGGAGGATCCCTCATGCTGCGGAGCGGCTGGGCCCGTGAGCCATGGTTTAAAAAAAATATATATATATATATATATATGGGGAGAGACTGGCTAGGAATAAGGCAAGAGAGAATACTGCTTCTTCATGTGGGTTTTTAAAACTCTTACTTTCCCTCAAGGCCGCTTGCCTCCGCCCGGCTTCGCCCCAACCTCCGTTCTACCCGCCGCCTCTTCCACCCCAAGTGTGCCGCGGAGCCCAACTGGAGCTGCCACTGGGCTGGGTGGCCCCGAGCCGAGGGCCCGCGGGAGAAAGGGTCCAGCCGCCGTATACCGCCACGGCTCGGGAGGGGGCTTCAGCGAGGCGGCACCTGGGAGCTCCCCGGAGCTCCCTGCAGGGCCCCGCCCACTCCCCCAGCCTAGACGGGCGGGCTCGGTCTAGGCTCCGCCCCCTTTTAGCCGGAGCGTCAGAGTCAGGTCGAGCTAGGCTAGAAGCCGGCTGTCAGTCTCCGTGTAGCCGCTGCAGCCGCCCGGCGCCGTGGAGCTGGGACCCCCTTTCGCCTGGGAGTTTTGTGGTCGCATCGGGTCAGCGGTGACATCCCAGCGGGCAGGCCCGGCAGCTGCCATGGTAGCCAAGGATTACCCCTTCTACCTCACGGTCAAGAGAGCGAACTGCAGCTTGGAAGTACCCCCGGCCAGCAGTCCAGCCAAGGACTCCGAGGTAGGGCCTCCACCTGGACCTTTCCGGGTCCGTCTTTCTCTCAGTCTCTTACTCTCTCTGCTCGCTCCCTCCCTGTGTCACTGTCTCTCGGTTTCCATCTCTCACTCTGTGCATTCCTCTTCCTCTCTCTCCATCTCTCATACACTTTCTGTCTCTCTGTCTCCCTGTCTCCATCTCTAACTCTGTCTCTGTCTCTCTGCCTCCCTTCCACCCCCTCTATGGATCAAGAGAGCGCCACCTCCTCTGTCCCCATCTCTCTTCCTCCCAGCCTGAGGGCAGCAGCCTCTTTGCCCCTGCCTCTCTTTTGTGTCCTGCAGGGCTCTCAGACTGTGCATCCACTCCGAAGAGGGACTTACTGCATCATTGGGCTTGGTCGTCAGGGAAAAGCTACCCTTTTTTTTTTTAAATAAATTTATTTATTTTATTTTGGGCTGCATTGGGTCTTTGTTGCTGCGAGTGGGCTTTCTCTAGTTGCGGCGAGCAGGGACTACTCTTCCTTGCGGTGCATGGGCTTCTCATTGCAGTGGCTTCTCTTGTTGGGGAGCTCAGGCTCTAGGCGCACGGGCCTCAGTAGTTGTGGCACGCGGGTTCGGTAGTTGTGGATCGCAGACTCCAAAGCGCAGGCTCAGTAGTTGTGGTGCACAGGCTTAGCTGCTTCGAAGCATGTGGGATCTTCCTGGACCAGGGCTCGAATCCCTATCCCCTGCATTGGCAGGAGGATTCTTAACCACTGCGCCACCACGGAAGTCCAGGGAAAAGTTACCCTTTAAGCACAGGTTTCCTCTTGCAGGGGTTGACCAGTCAGGGGGACATTCTTGTGGACCCCTCAGGACATCTCATCTGTCAGGCTTGGACTTGCAGCTGTTTGGCAGCAAAGACGGGTCACAGCACCTCTGATTGTCACCTGTGGCCAGTGGGTGTCATTCACTTGGGTGTCTGGAAGCTAAATTAGTAATTTGAGTGTCTCCCACATGGATCCTTAAAATGAATTAAAACTCCTCCGGGCAGTGGGAAGCCCTCTTGGAACATTGAAAACATTTCTCTTTCTGGTAACTTTCCTGTGCCTTGAGAGTAATGTGAGGGAGTCCTCCTGGCTTGTGTTTAGTCTGCCTTTTCCTCCTGTGTGTTATATCTCTGGCAAAGAGCTCACTGGCCTTTAAGGTTGGGTTCAGGTGGAGGAGAAAGCGTCCCTCTCTTTCGTTGAGGATCTTGGGGAATACGGTTGCTTTCATCAGACTGCACCTTTGCTGTGGCTAAGCTGTAGTGGAACCCACAGGACCCAGTACATCATTTCCGCTGGTGTGTATCTGGGAGATCTCCACTCTCCCCTACCACGACCAAGGAAGTCTGGAGGCAGGTGTGCATCTGGCCTTGTCACAGTGCTCTTGGGGGTCCACCCACCTGCTACCCTTGGGTCTGCTCAGCTATGTGCTCTTGGTTCACTGAATTATGTATATTCGGGAGGACAGCATCAAAGATTCATTGCCTCTAACAAGAGCTGCTCCAAGCTGACAGGACTCCAGACAGTCTCAGGTTGTAATCAGCTTTCTGTAAGTTGAGTGCAAACTAACTTCTCACCCCCATCCCCATCCCACACGTCAATTCAGTTGTGTATTTGCACAAAGCGTTTCTGTTCCCAGCAGCTGTGGAAGTGTGATGGCCTTAGTGGTGTTTGGACTCTTATTTAAGTTTTGACAGGACAGTACCTGCATAGAATTCAGGTTGTTCAGGCTTGGAATGGATATGATTTTTCAGTGGGAACTTCATAATTTAATGAATGTGGGAGCAGTGAAGCTAGTGTCCCCTCAGACTCCTTTTGGAAGGAAACGAAGCATAACCTAGTTTAATGAATAAATTGAATTGTGTCAAAGAATACCGAGAATAGCTCTGGACTCTAACTAGTCCCTTCCTGCTGTCACTTAGTCCTGTATTTTTGTGTAGTTTGGCTAAAGGCTTAGGTATAAAATCCATCTGTTTAATCTTTTCTTATTCTCGTTCTTAGAATATAAATATATCTGTATATCACAAATGTGGTAAGAAAAATGTATCACCAGATGTCAGATATCAATTTTCTTCATGGTAGCTGAATCCAGATTATAAAATGTGACTTATTTTCCTTTCATGGGGAGGTTCTGGTGTGAGAGTAAGGGTGGGAGAGGAACAGTTTCCAAAATAGTTGGTAAATATTTTTCAGGTATCACTATTTAGGATTTGTTTCCCCTAGTGTTTAAATCAGAGTGGGAATATCTCTTTTGCTCTATACTCCTCGAATCAGAGGCGTCCAGTCCAGTACATCTCCTAGCTTCATTAATCTGGCATATCGATTCCTGATAATGGCGATAGGCAAAGTTGGAAAAAGAAACTTAAGTGATTTGGGGGCTCGTTTTCTGTTTCATTACCAGTTTAAAAGACAGCCAGCCCTTTGTAGGCCTCACTTCTCCATCAGCAGTTAACTAAAGTCATATTTTCTACCAGCAGGTGTCGTCAGCATTTGTAAGTGTTTAAAAAACCGCATACACTAGTTGGCCTTTTGAAAAACATGATGATATACTTGTTTATAAGTTAGGCATCGATGGTGAATTCCTATGAGAGTAGTTTTTTAAGATCATTTTCCTTGCAGGAAGAATGTGGTTATGCTAAAAAGAAGGATTGGCCTATCCAAAGTCCTTTTTGACCTTCAAAGGTAGTTGAAGGAAAGCACCTGTGCCCTTTAACTCATAATGGCTGTTCCTTTAGAATTTGCTATGAGGAGGACAATGGGCACAGCACTGCATGGGCAAGTGCCTTCTAGAATTTGTTCCTGTCCCTGCAGCAAGCGTGCAGGGCAAGACTCGTGGGGAAGGGGCGGGTGTCAGTGATGTGTATTTGACGCCATACACTTGAGCAAAAATGTGCAACAATAAACATTCTTTTGAAAGCACATCATAACAGAATTTCTACTTGGGATTTAAATGATTTGTAAATTTTTAAATCTCAATGATAGTTTTCAGTGATAGAAAAAAATGATATCTTTTAATTTTTTATTTTCTTTAAATTATCTTTTAAATATTAAAGTTATTCTACATGGATTATGACATTAATACAATAAGGCTCCTTAATCTAGTATTTCTTATGACACAGGTATATGAGTTGGGTTGCAGATGTTTAATTTTGATGCCATAACCAGCTAGATCCTTCTAGCTCTAATCATTAACTACAAAATCTAAGGAGCTTAGTTCATCTTAGTCCATAGCACTAGACTTTCACAGAGAAACATAGTATCATGTGGACATCATTAAGCTTGTTTCTTCTGATTCATTGATGCACTTTGCTCAACTGATCTGTTTTTATATTTATTGGGTGCTTACTACTCATGCCAGGAGGAACTGCTTCTTCTAGGCGTATTATGTCCTCTGAACACCTGATCAAGTCACTCAAAGAAAAGCTGTTAGTGCTAACAAATTACACTGATTCCAAGTTAAAAGTCACTATTTTCCCATGGTGAGGTTTGCTTTTATAAAAAGAAGGCTCAGAGGCTTCCCTGGTGGCGCAGTGGTTAAGAATCCACCTGCCAGCACAGGGGACACGGGTTCAAGCCCTGACCCGGGAAGATCCCACATGCCGCGGAGCAACTAAACCCACGCGCCTCAACTACTTGAGCCTGTGCTCTAGAGCCTGCGAGCCACAACTACTGAGTCTGCGTGCTACAACTACTGAAGCCCATGCGCCTAGAGCCCGTGCTCCGCAACAAGAGAAGCCACTGCAATGAGAAGCCGGCACCACAGCAAAGAGTAGCCCCTGCTCACCACAACTAGAGAAAGCCTGCGCATAGCAACGAACACCCAATGCAGCCAAAAATAAATAAATCTATTTTTTAAAAGAAAGAAGAAGAAGGCTCAAATGAGTGATATATGTTGGCTAAGGATGCTGGAGCCTTGTGAGAAGGTTTTAAGGGTTTGGAGTCCATTTAATGAAAACACAAAGTGGTGATTCTGTTATTTCTAAGAATTTCTAAGAACTTTTGGACAATTTGATGGACAGCTTACTTTTGGTTTTAAGATTCACTATCTCAGATGTTGGTCAAGATTAGGCCAGATTTAGTTAGTGGTATTTGTAGTCATTGCCTTTGTCTCTCTTGTATATGTCTCTGACATGTCTTTGTATCTGTTTTAACTTTGACTCAGCCAGTAGCCTCATCCGGAAACTTGGAATGACCTAAAAAATGATGGAATTATTTTTCTAAGTACCACATCTAGTGTCTCACTTGAGAACCCAGCTATGTTGTAAGGTTAACATAAAGCATGTATTATTCTCCCCACTTTATGAATAAGGATACTGAGGGGAAGTGACTTGCAGAAGGCCACTAAGAAAATCAGCAGCTGAGCCAAGACCCAATGCCAGGTTTCCTGTTGGATTTAGTCTAGTGTTTAATACCAGTGTACCTTGTGGCATCTAAGGATGTTTACCTCTGTGAAGAAAAAGGTGGGCGGGTGTATGCAAAACAACAGACAGGTAAAATGCTTTTAAGATATTTTCTTTTAAATATGTAATCGTGAGCACTTTATTAACTGAGGAGGTACCTTTCAAGCTTCAGTTCTAAAGGGCAAGGTGAACTCTATGCCCCACCATAGTTTATGCCCCAGTCAGTCCACATGTGTATTTGAAATGTGGTAAGAAAAATGTATCACCAGATGTCAGATATCAATTTTCTTCATGGTAGCTGAAGCTACCTGGAGCTGTGTTCGTTACATGCCAGCTGGAGAGCTAAAGGGGTCAGCTGGTTTCTAGTAATTTATACATTTCTTGGAATTTGTATCATATAGTGTTGAACTGACCATATATACAATCAACTACATGGAAATAGTTCTGAGGAGTTATTGAAGTTAGAATCTTGGGGTTTCGTCAGGTGATTAAATAGACTCCGTGAATCATGTGGCTTCAGATGTTGCTGGATGGGGAGCCACATGGATGGTAGAGGGCTATCACTTGCTGAGAGGATCTGAATATGGTCATCGGCCATG